CTGTCGGAAACCATTGAGCTTATATTGGAAAAATTTTAATCCACATTCACATTACAAAATGTTCTCGTGTGTCAGTGGGACAAAGAAGTGCCAGTAGTGTCTATAATATTGGTGCGGCTGGCGCATCAATTGTGGATGACCCAAATAAGTCTTTCACACGTCGTTCTCAAGCATAGGGCATCGCTGTGACGTTGTTGTGACAAATTTTGTGAAAAGATCTTTGCTTAAGTCCTTACAAGAACAAACTGACACAAGAACAGGAGCTGCTTGAACACCAGGTTCGGCGTATTTCCGTGGATTGGACTGAGCAACAACTTGAAAATGATCCGGATTTTCATCGAGAATCATCTTCAGCGATGATGCTCATTTCTGGCTGAATGGTTTCGTCTATAAACAAAATATGTGTTATTGGTCACAATTGCATCTCGAAAAAACTACGGTTTGGTGCGGTTTATGGGCCGGAGATGTCATTGGGCCGTACTTCTTCCGTGATGATCAAGACCGGCACGTCACTGTTAATGGGAATCGCTACCGCTCAACGATAACCGAATATATTTGACCCGAATTGAATGATATGGACTTGAGTAATCTGTGGTTCCAACAGGACGGCGCTACAAGTCACACAGCGAATGTCACAAAGTCGTGCGATTTGACGCCGTCAGACTAAAAAATTTCGGTATTATAATAAAAAGCCAAATTAAGTAGCAGATTTCAAATACAAAACAATTTTATATTTTTGCAACATTTTGTGTAAAACAAGTTTGTCGAAGCTGACCGCTTCTAGGCGATTGCTTTCCGATAGACGGTGCAAAACAGGGCCATAACTCGTAAGAGAACAGCATATTAGAAATGATTGCCTGACAATTTCACTAAATACATAACAAAACCTTCCTGACCGTCAATCCTGAACTGGCCAGCGATGCGAGCACGACTCTTTTAGTTTGACGGTGCCATCTTTTCACCGCCAGTAATCATGCGTCTCAGAAATGGATACATTTTGTTACAATTTCACATAAATTCGCAAATGGAATTACGGCTAATCAATCTTCTGTTTCCTTAACACACGTGTCACCCACACTTCGAGCTTCTTTTTTCTTTAAGTCTTTAAACTTATTTCTATGGTTTTTATGCTATGTTAACTCATAGGTAACTGAAACAATGCTTATATAATATGTCGGTCGGACTCGACAATATACTAATATTTTGTCGACATTTCGGACATTTGGCCTTTCATAGCTTGGTGAATTCTTGATATCGAAAATACCGGAACGGAATCATCAACATCAAAATTCCACTTTTCGGCTGCTAGAAGGTCAGGACCTTTATGTTCCTTTATCCCTGAAAAACTGTTCTGTGTTAAAATACCTACGATAGTATTGAGAGGAGAAAGAAGGTAAACATTTTGGTGGATCTTTATAAAAACGCCTTGCTGTATCTAACTTTATAGCTACTGTTGAGGGTGGAAAATAGTAAGACGACGTCCGAATTTTACTGGCCCTTTTGGAATGTCGGAAGGATCAGTGGAAACCATTTTGAAGCATCATTTCTAAGAAATGTCTAAGAAATGGGAAAGCAGGCTATTCCTAAAATTGACCTTTACAAGAGTTTCGGAGATTGGAAAAAACGATGGAACAAGCGTATTAGGATTAAGAGGGATGAGTGTGAGGGAGACGATATACGAGGTGTGTTCAAAAAGTATCGCGAATTTTGAATTTTCGGCATTATGTTGGTACTCATGTCTCTCCCTTATGCTGATAAGCTCGGTCATTTTCAATGTTCATTTAATTGTTGACAGCTGCTTTGCTTGCACGTGTTTTGGATTGTCTTCGATTTTTACCTCTTCAAAAAATTGGATCAAAGAAGCTGTATCAAATTTTGTGTGAAAAACGAAATTAAGTACGCGGATGCATTCCGAATGTTGACTGTGGCATACGGAGGAGCTACCTTGGACCGAAACAACGTTTATCGGTGGTACAAAATGTTCGGTGAAGGCCGAGAAGATGTGACATAAATTGGCTTTTGCACCACGATAACGCCCCTGCTCACACACCGTGGCTTGTGCGCGACTTTTTGGCCAAAAACAACACACTAATGATGCCGCAGCCACCGTATTCCCCAGATCTGGCCCCCTGTGACTTTTTCYTGTTCCCTAAACTGAAGAGGCCCATGAAAGGACGACGTTACGCTTCTCTTGACGAGATAAAGACGTTCGATGGAGGAGCTGAAGAAGATAAAAAAAAAAGATTTTTTGAAGTGCTTCGAAGATTGGAAAAACTGTTGGCACAAGTGTATAATATCTCATGGGGATTACTTTGAAGGGGACAAAATATATATTCATAAATAAATAAATAATTTTTGAAAAAACACAAAATTCACGATACTCTTTGAACACATCTCGTACATAGATTTTACAGAGTAAATTACGATTATTAAAATTATGAACACAGTTTTACAATTTTTTGCTCATAGATAGAGAAATATTGTAAAATGAATGAAATTATTTTTGCTCCCCAAATAACTTCTTTGTTTTCATTTCCATGGTTATTTACCAAATATTTGTATTTATTATTACAGTAAGTGTAATAACCTTCAATTACAGTTATTGTATAAGCGTCTAATATTTACGCTTCCAAATATGGAAGTGCATTTCAAATTATAGTTTGCTATATGAAAATTTTCAATGTCAGTACACCAAATATAGTGAAGCTATAAACGCATGAAACCAAAGTGTTTGGTAATTGCGCGCAAAAAGTCAAATATGAAGTGCGCAATCGTAAAGGTAATGACTTACAACAGCCCAGAAACCCAATTGAATTACTATGCGCAACTCGACGCATCGCAGCAGTTATGCGCATACATACTTACATACACAGGTGCTCGTATGTAACTGTGCGTGGAGTTGCCAACAGTTGTGATTTATTAGCACACTTGTTTATTATTGTATTTGCACTTTTATGCATAACGCAAAAATGTGCTAACATTACCATTTGACAACGCCAACTTAAATTTCCAAATAAACTATTCAGTTATGTTAGTTGACAAAACAGACTGAAGCTTCAGGTGTGAGTGGGCATTTGAAGTGTTTAATTGAACGAAATAAATTACAGAATATTATATAGTTTCGTAGGCGCGGTTGGATCTTAGGTACAGAAAAGCATTAGGGTGAGACTTAAATGTTGTAGAAATTGCAAAAATTATTTTCGATTTTTAAGCTTATCTATCGGAGGCCAAAGTTAATGTACACTAAAAACCGAAAACAGGACCAATGTTATATATAGTATAGACGTACCTAGAATTTTGATATTATTAAAGAACAAGTAAGGAAGGGCTAAGTTCGGGTGTCACCGAACATTTTATACTCTCACATGATTAAGTGATAATCGAGATTTTAGGCGTGGTTGTGAACCGATTTCACCCATATTTGGTACATGTCATGACGGTGTTAAGAAAATATTATATACCGAATTTCATTGAAATCGGTTAAGTACTTCCTGAGATATGGTTTTTGGTCCATAAGTGGGCGACGCCACGCCCATTTTCAATTTTAAAAAAAA